GCGCCAAGGCCGTGTCAGAGACACCCGCCATTGCAACCGTATCCGAGGACGAGGACGAGGATGAGGCCGAGCCTCCGCCGGTGATCGCCCCACGACCAGAGCACACGAAATCAGTAAGGACACACACACACACACACGTTTGTACTTCTATCTTAGTGAGGACACTAACTGACATAATGCATTCCCTAGCCCCTTACCCTAACTTGAACTGTCTAAACTAAACACTCACCAAGTCTTAACCCTCAAACAGGCCATTGAAAAAGTGAGGACCACACAAAATGTCATCACGTTCCAGAAAAGTCTTCCCTCTAAGAGGACTATGCTTAAAATGGTCCTTACAAATATATAAATACAAGAAACACACACACCTCAGAAACACTTCTTAGGTTTTACTCTTGTGAGCTGGGATCACTATTATTGTACATTATGTTTAAACAACTTTCACAATCAAGATACATATAGAGAGAGTTATTAACTGAATATGAATGAAATGATATTCAGAAACAAAGTGTGTGTAATGTCTGTTCGACCTGTAAATATTTAGAAATGATGTACAACTTTCCAGAGATCTGCACAATAACCCACCAAACTCAATTCAAATGAACTGATGTTACTTATTTCTGAGAAAATGAAGAAGCACTTTCTCATTAACGTCGTCACCAAGTGAGAGGAGAACATCCAGGCTGCTGCTGCGCTGCAGGCCGCTGGTAACAGGAACACAGGAACCTGTGAGACGCGGCTGGACGCTCCTGAAGTTGGATAATAAGTGATAATGATATGTTATGATCCGTCACTCAGGAAGAATGAAGCTCTCCTGTTTTATTTTCGGAACTTTTGAGACTTTTTAGTGTGTACATATTAATTCAGCGTCATTCAGGGTCGTGGGTCTCGTGTGTCATCATTCAAACCATAGTTCTGTACAGTTCATGACACAATAATGAAATCCATCCACTCAGTCATCATGTTTACATATTTGTGTTTTTTATTTTTCAGATATACACTCGCTCAGTCATCGAACCCCTCCCTCTTCCCCCTCCGACCAAAGATGCCGCGACCTCCCCCATCAACCCGCCAGCCGCTGCGGCCGCCGCCGTCACCCCCGCGCCGCCTGCAGACGGAGCTCCCAGCAGCCCTCCCAGTGCGAGCCCTGCCCCCGGACCCTCCCTCTCCCGCCCCCTGGACAAAACCAGGAAGAAGAAGATGTCAGACGAGGAGATTCTGGAGAAACTACGTAAGGGTCGCTCATCGCTCACATACACACATGAGAAACTCACACCTGTTAAATGATACAGATCATATTCATCTTATACGATTATTGATATTTTAAAAGTAATATAACCACTGATTGGTTTAATATGAACAGATTTTCTTTACAGCACCAAAGGCTGAATCGTTTTAGTTTAACAGCATTAAAAGATAATTGATTAAAAGAAAATATTCTTTCAGCAAACCCTGCACCGTTACTTCAAATCAAATTCAAACTTTTATTCTTCTCGACAAGAAATCCTCACCATCATGTTCTCTCTTCCTCCACATACTGAAACATGTTGCTGTGTTTGTAACCTTGAATAAAGCCTGAATGTTTTTTAAACCATGCAACACGCCTGTCCAGATGTGCTCAGGTCGCCCTCTGCTGGTAAGACCAGGATCCTGTCTGTCAATCAGTCTGATTGACAGACCTGATATTCACTTTCCCCACCCCCTCTGTCCAGTCCTTACGTTTGATTGGTCGTCCTCTCTCTTTCCATCGTCAAGTCTCCTGCGGCTCCAGTGACTTCGACTTTTGTCCCGCTTACTTTCCCACTGTGGATTCTGAGAACGGGAGATGGATTTATCTATCTATCTATCTATCTATCTAACTATCTGTCTGTCTGTCTGTCTATCTGTCTGTCTATCTATCTATCTATCTATCTATCTATCTGTCTGTCTGTCTGTCTGTCT